TAGGTGACAGGTAGATGTTAATACATATAAAATGTGTACATTTCTTGGACATTGAAGTACCTGTATCTCAAAAACTAATCATAGGATTGGTTCGGGCCCGTGAGAACTTTTTATCAGGAAGTCAAGGTCTAACACATAGCAAAATTTCATTGAGTTTGACAGAAAACCAAAACCCATAAGAGGTGTGCGGGGTCCTTTGCACTATTCTTGGAATTAAAAAGTTAAAGACTACACCTTACCACCCAAGTGCCAATGGCATTGGCGTAACTAGCCATCTGACCTGGGGGGGCCTAGGGTGGGCCTGGCAGAGGCGCCGATTTTTGAAAGTCCTCATAGGTGCAGGATAATATTTTCATAAATTTGTTTATAGGGGAGGGGTAAGCTCACCGTAGCCGCTAAAAACGTCTATTTATAGCGTATATATTTTTATATTTTTTTTCTACAAGCGTGCAAAAAGTGCTTTTTTCTGCACGCATGTTAGGCCATGAAAATATCACATCATTATCAAAATAATTATGTCTGGTACTTTTATGTCCTAAAATGCCCTATGTCCCGATTATTATCAAAGAATAGGGATGGAGAATAGCAACATTAGCAATATAAAGTAATAGAGCATAGAATTGACCACAAATAACGAAAGGACAGAATACTAATACCTTCCTAATCTGGAACGGAATGACCATTAAATAAGTTTGTACTTTCGCAATCCTCTCGTAGGCTCTGAGTACCCATGAGAGGTTGCTCATGGGAGCACCTGTCCCAATGCTCCCATGTAGTTGGGGACAGTGGCCTAGGGCCTGTTATTGCGACTTATTGGAATCTTTAAAAAAGTAGAACAGTGCAATTATACGCGATTAACTGACTAAACCGGGCTTAAATCACTCACCTAGCTAACCCAGCTTATCAGCCACTGTATAGTATATATCATATTAGCAACACTGATTCACGGATTCACAGGAAAAATATTTAGTCAAACTCCCAAACTAATTTGTTATATTGCTAATTCTAATTCAATGGCTTTGGTATAGTGTATCACTTCTGCACATTGCAATTTGCACTGGCCTTTGGGTGGCACAATGGCACACAGCGTGTTCGTTGGTGGATCAGGATCGGATAGGGTCGATCAGGATCGCCGCGCATTACCGTTAAAATTAAGTAGGTAATAACATAAAATTATAATAGGTAACGTAAACATAAAATACCAAATTATGGAATTTTTTTCTGGGGGGGGGGGGGCTAGCGACGTCTGGAGGGGGGCCGGCCCCCCAGGCCCCCCTGTAGTTACGCCACTGGCCAATGGAATAATAGAACGGTTTCACAAAACCATAAAAACGATGACAAGTCATTACGTCGATGATCACCATGATAGTTGGGATGAAGTGCTACCCTTTTGTCTTCTAGCGTATAGAAATTTGCCACATGAGGCAACCCAAGAATCTCCATTCTTTCTAATGTTTGGGAGATATATGGAGCTTCCAGTACACCCAATGGTGCCAAAATGGGCCAGTAAAATATGACATAGACGAAAACTATGCTACAGAATTAGTCACCAGAATGTAGAACGCCCACGAGTTAGCTCAGAGGAACATAGAGGCCTCTATGGATAAAAGATGCGATAAACACAATGCAAAACGAACGAGGAAAAAATTCCAAGTCGGGGATTTAGGTTATGTGAAGAATCCAGTTTTACCAGGAAGGAATTTAGCACCAAAATTCCGCTGTAAATGGTCAGGACCAAGTCGAATTACTCAACAGTTAGGTTGGGACCGGTTACTTTTAAAATAGAGGAGTTGCACGGAAATAAAGAGCAGGTATTACATGCTGAAAGGCTCAAACCATGTAAAGGGTTGGAGGATAGAATGATAAATCCTACATTAGATCACGGAGATAGTGAATCCGATAAAGAGGAGGACAATGAGGTTCAACCCAGAGGAGAAGACATTATAGAATTTCCACTAATTCATAGGGAAATGACAAGAGACGAGAATGAAGAAATCGTCGATCAAAATGAAAATAATGGCTCCAATGATGAAATAAGGGCGCAAGAAGAAGATTAATTTTTAGCACGGGGACAAGAATTACCCATCAGGCATAGAGAAATGGAAGAAAATATAAACCAAGAAAATGAGGAAAATTCCGAAGATGAAGAGGAAGAAGAAGAGGTCGAGGTACACGATCCGGAAGTACGAATAAGTACGAGGACACGGGACATAAGATGGCCTGCTAGATTTAAGGATTATGTAATGAAGAAACTGTAAAATGTAGAAAAATCAGAGTATATTTAGTCTACGTATATCTAACTAGAAATTAAGTGGAATGCATAAGAAAGGATGTTAGCTATAAAATTTGAAAATAAGAAAAATAGAGTAGAATGTAACGATACAAACATTTGAAGGCCGTAATTTAGGTGATTAGAAAATAATAGGTACCAAGAAAACGACGAACTCGTTCCGCCACTACGTATCCATGTCGAAATGGAAAGTTTGGACAATGCTGTCCTAGTAATGAAACTCCGACGAGCCAGTAGGAGCAATCACGAAGACAATGGTAGCAGTAGCCAACCACAGCCAGTAACCACAAGGGAAGTATTGTATAAAAGTTAAAAATCAGAAGGGTGTAAGTGTAAGGTGTACCTAGTAAACTAGCGAGACCACCCGTGAGCAGCATCAGCATCCAGATCGTAACTATCCTAGTTACGATACCTACTACTGTGAGATTGACAGCGAAAGGATTACAGACAACCAGCCAATGAGTCGCAGGGATCCGGGGATGGCCGAAATATAGGCCCACTCAATATAGGCCTAACGAGCAACCGGCGTTACAAGTAAACTTTGCTACAAGCAAGGGTAATTTTTTTGTAAGATTGAAATTTGTTTTGTGTCGTTCTAGCATCAACAATTTTGAAGGGAAAATATTAAATGAAAATTGTATTCATGCAGAAAATTAACAAAATTTTTGGTGCCAGGATAAAATCTAGTGTTGAGTAAAGACCGAACCACATTTTACGAGACAGGCACCTAAATTTTTGGTGAAATTGTATATTTTAATGGGACCTTGAATAAGATTTGACCGAAATTATTTTATTCAATATAATTTCGATTTTAAAGGGCGGAGGGATGTAATGATCCGGTAAATAGTCCCGATATTAACAATGTCTTTACTGTAAAAATTAAATGTAATCAAATAATCAAAAACTGAATTTCCTGTATTTCAAATCAGTATCAATAAATTGAGAAGGGAACAAATTAACGTTGACCCCAAATACATTCGAAATTATATTATATCGTCACCCAGCCTGTGTCATCATCAAAAATTCCTAAATAGTTATTTATGTATCAAGGGAATTATGAGGGTGTTAATACCCCAGGGCAAAGTTTGCGTCCCGAGGGCCTTTGGCTCGAGGGACACTAATTGCCCGTGGGTATTAACACCTGATAATTCCCGTGGTACATAGATAATTTTATTTCCTACTGAATTTAATGTATTTTGTCCATTTTTTTAAAGAAATAAACCATAAACCAAAATTTCTATTTTTTGTCAAAGTTTCACCTATTCAAGGTAAAAGCGGGAGTTATGGAAATCTTTAACTCCCTTGGGAGTTATGATATCCTTAACTCCCTTGGTAACCCAGGTATTATATGGTTATAATAGTTCAGTCGGAAATAAAATAATTAACAGCGAGGCCATAATAATTAAATCGATGATTTATGGCATTCTTGAACCAAAAAGATGTGTTGACCTCTATAAATCAGGATATTGCGGCATAATTAGTTGATTTTAAACAAATGAAAATGACAAAAATTTCAAATACATTACATCATTATTTTTTGATAATATCTAAGTCGGCCAACAGAATTGACTTATTGATAGTCAAACGACCGCTTATTGACGATTTTGGTGGATAATTAATAATGCTTTGGGAAGGAATCGAAAAATATAAAACAGGCGGTTTTAGAAGTGGAAAGCAGTTGTCAGTTGAGTTGTTCGCTCAGTCCAGTTTGACTTAAAGTCTACACTACCTCATGTGTCAGTCCTTGTAAATTTCGCGAAAGTTTCTTTTATTGCCTCGGGGAAAAGTCCTTGAAATAGTAACCGAAATTGTAAAAGAAAGAACAGTTAAATTTGTTCAATACTATGTGCGTGCTCTAGAGATTTTTGAAGTAAATTAAATTAAGTAATTTTACGTGTGAAAAGTTAAATGTAAGTACCTACTCTTGTGAATAGTAAAACTTTTTAGCTTTATAAATGATGAATTACTATGAAGTGAATTAACTTTGGAACTTTATTGCATAAATATTAATAACTCGACTGTTTTGACTATGGAACATTATTGCATAAATTTAATTGCCTTCGAGTATAATGACATTTTAATTAATTTCGCAAAGAATTAAAAGGGGAATTTATAATGCACTTAACCCGTATCGATTTTGAGTAGGAATTATTAAAGAATTTTGAATTGGCTTGTCCAAATTGAAGTTTAAGGGCTCTAGTAACGAATCTAATAAGAATTAAATAATTGTGTTCGTTAACTAGGAATCCGAAAATAGTAATTGTTCTGATTTAAATAAACCATTATATGTGAATGGGAAGTTTTGAAATGAAACTTGTTGTTCATAAGGAAACATTGATGATCTTAAGTGCCGAAATTTTGAATTAGGGTTTTTATTTTTCATGTAGAAATATTTGTAAGGTTTTTATAAGAATAAGTTAGAGATACCTATATTAATAAACAAATAATTATTTGATTTTGCATAAGCAGTCAGTAAAGGACTTAAGAATTTTTAGGACTTTATAGATATAGGTAAAGGGTAGTTTAATAGGAATGTATCGGAAGTGTTGAAATGTATAAACGTATAAGTTATTGTAGCACATTGTTCCAATATATTTTCCTTCAAATATGATCATGCCCCTTAAATGCATGCAAAACGTGATAGTGTATGTCCTAATTAAGGGTTAAATAACAATTTTATACCCAAACCGCAATTAATGACAATTCATACCTTAATGTAAATTTCTTCAGTTTGACAAGTGTCCGGACTGTCTTTGTATAAAGTAATCGTATCGTTGATCGTATGACTATTTCTTCTCAAGAATGCCATCCTCGGAATGCTCGTTTTCTTGGTATCCAAAATATATTGAACATTTAATCCTTGAAAAAATAAATTAATTTTATTTGTTGAATAAAATTAGAAAAAAAAACTCACGAATTTGTTGAGGTATTCCTTTGCCGCTGTATTTAATGCAAAAATCAATGGTAGTGCATGTTCCTAATTGTCCATTAGGCAAGTTGCAATTTTTCTTACTAATGTCTATTTGTTTATTCAGGGTACGGAATTTAACGAACGCCTCAACTCGAACAACGGGTTTCGATCTAGAAAACATTTGGGATAACATCATGTCAAGGTATTACATTATTATGAGTGAGTAGATATACGTACCTAAAGAAAAACGCGGAATTGGATAAATAAGCTCCAACGGCCATATCGGGATAATCGTTTCCATCCATATCTAAGCCTCCAGTCACGGAAAATCCGAATGTGTTCACTGGAAAATTACTTCTAGTCGCCATATCTTCGGCGTAAATGACTTGCCCGTACTTTTCCAGGACGCCTTTGGATGATCCGTAGTAGATGTAGACTGCACCTCTGTTAAATTCTCCGTCATATGGGGCACCAACTGCAAAATCTACAAGAAAATATGTTTTTGTTATTCTATGATTTTCCAGCAGCCAATTTAAGTTATCTTAAATGATTGAGTGAGACTACAATAAGTAATGAATGTTGTGTTATTTATCTGATAACCATTTTTATTCGACTAAGGGACGGTTGTTTCACCTTCTGAAAACCGTCAGGTATGCAATCTGGCGGATAGAAACGCAATCCGTAATTCCATTTGTCGGCCGGTTATCCGCAGATCAATAGAATTATAGAATGGTAAATTTATCTTGCAGATAGTTACCAGCAACTTGATCTGAAGATAAATAAACCAGGACTAAAGCGTGGTTTTTGGACTTCAAAAATATCAAAAACTAGGATTAGGAAACATTCTTTGAACAAAATTGTGCTTTCAAACGTGTTGCCTGAGTAAACCTACTGATAGAGAATAGGATAGGTAGGTGCTGTTGATTTAGACTACAGATCGCATAATTTTTTATCACTTCCTGTGTGATTCGATTAATACTAAATACTAAATCTACGTCTTGTGTGATAGCTACGTAAGTATATTTATGTTGAGTGAGTATGAATTCAATATTTTTAAGTACTTAAATTTTGTGGAAATTAAAATCAAAGGAAAATTGAAAAAGTTGGAGTTTCATACTTACGACTGCAACTTTTTCAATTTTCCTTTGACTTTAATTTCCACAAAATTTTCTTTAAAAATGTTAGTTTCGATATCTTTCACCGACAAAAAAATCTTCCTTTGTTCAATATTTTAAGTATTCGCCTTCACTACTATTATTGTAAGGATGTTCTGTTTTCTTGTACTATTTTTTTCGTCTTTATGGGTTGAATTTGGGACCACCTTACTATACATGTTCCACCGCATTAAAAAAAAGCTACAATGTATTAGTAGTAGTAGGTAGGTAGGTACTTACTTATTTTGCATCGATTATTATATTGTGCATATGAATGTAAGCTCTCCAAATATAATAGTTCATTAAAAATTAATTTTATCTTGAATATTTATTTAAATTAAAGGAGCGGTTGAAGTAGACGTAATTCTATACAATTATTATTCTGCAATTAAATGTTGGAGGAAATAGGTACTTGAGTGCATGTACAATTATGCAACCCCTTATATTGAATTAGCCATTCAATTCAATAAAACACAATAAGTAATCTTTTTTGTGTTTTAAACTCATGTACCTAAAGTAGGATACCCTTTGTGTCTCAGGTGAATTTTGAATATTTTATAAATAAAAAAGAATAGGGGATATTTCGTTGATTACAGGGCCGCCGCTACTAAAAAATCATGTGCAACGCCCTATACGTGGTAGAAGTGAAACTTTTTAAAAACTATCCCCGTCATACAACTTTTAGACAGCGTCTGAGTCGGGGTAAAGACGGAAAAAAACACAAAAGAAAGTCACGCATCTGTAGTGACGTCACAAGGGTATCGGCGCTTGACAATAATAGGTAATCCTCCTTGCTTATAATCCTTGGTTTGTGTCAATCGTTCGTCGGTTGTCATTATCATTAGCTGTTTTTCTCCGTCTCTCTAAGTTATATCTTTCTTCTTCTCGATCGTGTAACGAAATTTCCCAAAACGTGACGCGTCTTTTAAATCAGTCTCTATTCTCGTCCAATTATCAAATCGCCACCTAAGAACTTTTCACTTCAAAATAAATCATACCCATTTATCGAAAATAAACCTCTCAAACAAATAAACCCATCAAACCCATATCTTAGTTAAATTTCAAGCAAATTAAAATAAATTATATATCATTGGAAAGAACATTAAATTCTCTATAAATCCGTGCAAAATTGAGTTTGATAGCTCAAATAGTTTTTGAACATTTAAACCTCAGAGTTGACTTTTACTCAAAATTTTGTCAAAAACTTCAAACTGAATTTGCTCAAAAACTATAAATATGGGAATATTGTAAATTACAGGCCATTTAGAGCCTAATAAGAGCTACAAATGCTGGAAATTCCGATGCATTTTGCTCAACGGTTGCCGAGCAATTGAGGTTAGAATATTTTGAAATAAGAATTCAAAGGGGATACCCTCCAGGAATGTTTATGGAATGTTCGTAGAATGTCCCATCAGGACGAAAATATTTCAATATATTTTTGAAATAATTCGTCTATTTTAGGAATATTTATAAAATGTTTCAAAAATGTTCCAGAAATGTTTTAACATGTTTTTTTTTTTTTGAAAAATTTGCAATGAATATTATAGAAATATTCATAAAATGTTCCAAGAATGTTCATAGAAAGTTTCAGGAATGTTTCGACATGTTTTTTTTTGGAAAATTTTTGAAGAATATTCGGGGAATGTTTATAGAATGTTCGTAGAATGTTTCAGGAATGTTCATAGGAATTTTCTAATATTTCATGAGAATTTCGTGTAATTTTACAAGAATTTTTCAGAATTCCACTGAAATTCTTATTATAGAATGTTCCAAATGTTCATAGAATGTTCATAAATTGAACACCAGAATTTCCTGAAAATTCTTCGGAATTCCACTAAAAATTCAATTAGTTTCAAAGAAATTTTCTGTATTTTCACAGGAATTTTTTGGAATTCCATGTAATTTCACATGATTCATGAGTATTTCAGGTCATTTCACGTAATTTTTTTTGGAATTCCGCTGAAATTCTGAGTTATTTCATAAAAATTCCTTGGAATTTTGCTGAAATTTAAAAAACAATTTCACAATTTTTTTTGGATTTTCGGGGATAATATTTCAATGAAATTTCAGGTACATTATTTCATGTAAATTTTATGGAATATCTATTTATTTCGTAGGAAGGGTTTTTTTTTCAATTCCACGGGAATTCCAAGCACCTTTAAAGAAATTTTCTGACATGTCACATTTTTTTTCAAATTCCACTAAAATTCCGATTTACTCTACAGGAACATTGCTAAAGTTGCCGGTTGGACCGGCCTGGAAGCAAGCGGCCCTTCGGGAAACTTCTCAAAATCCCTGTTGGCCCATCCGCCCCTGGGTATTCAGCATAATTTCAATGAAATTCCTCATAGTTTATACAGGATTTCCCATAATTTTTATGGAATTTTGCAAATTTTTTATGGAATTCTCATGGAATTCCACATCATTTCTATGGGTTTTTATGAATTTAATTGAAACAACGATTTTTTTGGAATTCTACGCCATTTTCCCAGAATTCCATTTAATTTCACTGAACTTTCGCATAATTTTTATAGAATTTTGCATAATTTTTATAGAATTTTGCATAATTTCTAAGAAATCTATATGTGATTTTTTTTAAATAAAACGTTTTTTTTTCTTCTATGGAATTCAGCATAATTTCAATAAAATTTGCATATTTTTTACGGAATTTCATTTAATTCCATTCAATTTTACTGAAATTTCGCATAATTTCTATAGAATTTTGCAAAATTCCTATAGAATTCCATGTAATTTTTCTAAAATTTATTATTTTTTCTTTGGAATTCCACGTCATTACTCCTTTAATTTCACTTGAATTGCGCACGATTTTGATGAAATTAAGCATACCTATTCGAAATAGACCGATCTCCTATTACCTGGACTGCGCGCGTCGCTTGTAGGCTGCAGGTGAGCGTCCAATGAGAAGCAAGTTTATGACAGGCTTGCGTCATATTCTTATTCAGGGGCCAGTTCAGAATGAATCCTTCCTTCTTTCTTTGTAACGTGTAATTTGACAAAGAGCAAACTAATACCTTACATATTACTTGAACTCACCGCAGTTTCGTTTAAGGTTATGTTAGGAATATACTTGACATATTCCTTTGCAATTTCATTGAGCGATGTTGCCGGATGAAACATTTATCAAAATAAAAGTGCAAAGTATGTTTATCCACTTTAAAGCTCTTCTTTTATCCGATTTAAGGCGTTATGAAACACTTGAGACTATATTACTTCTTTGATGTTATAATGTTCGATTTGTATTGTCTACATTTGTTCTGCAACAATACAATCTGGCTACACTGCAGCCTACGAGTTGCGCGCGCATGTCATCTTTTATTGTTTTCTAAATTGTATTTATTACAATGAAGGTCTCTTTTTCTAATCATGGGAGATAGGTCTATTCTATGTAATTTCAATGGCATCCCGCGTAAACTTTAGGGAATTTGGCATTTTTTTTTTTTTATTTGTCGTCATTTCTAAGATATTTTATTGAACTTAAATGGAATTCCATGTCATATAGTCCAACAAATACCATTTTAAAGTCACGTGATTTTTCTCTATCCTTGTTGAATACATCACAAACAGCGGTGATAGTAAAATTGACAAAAAAATTGCTGTCTAATTATTGTTCATAATATTCTTACCTGAAATAGAATCCGTCACTGTCATCAATTAGTTTGTCAAAGTTATTTTCGAAAATAATACAACGAGCAAACACAGCTAATAATTTTGTCTATATTAACCTTTTTCCAACTGGAAAAGAAGCAAATAGAAAACGGGTACCCAATTCAAGTTCAGAATGTATTACAAGGGGCAGCAGAAGCGACAAAAGTGAGTCTCGCAACAATTGCAAGTATTAAAATTCTCATCTGATTGGTCAATACTACTTCAGAAACGCGTTTGTAAAATGCTAGTGGGAACATATATTAAAATTCAATAGCAATTACCCACCAGTAGCTTTTTGTAGGTGATATCAACGGCATAATCAATGGACATACGTTTTTTGCCACCAGTATCACGTGACTTTAAAATGGTATTTGTCGGACTTTACCTGGGAAATTCCAAAAGAAATTACAATATATTTTCGCATAATTTCTATCAAATTTCACATAATTTCAATATAATTTCGCATAATTTCTTCAACATTTCTCATAATTTAAATGGAATTCTGCCTAAATTGCCCATATCTTTATTAAATTTCGAGCAAATTGAAATAAATTATATATCATTGGAAAGAGCATTAAATTCTCTATAAATCCGTGCAAAATTGGGTTTGATAGCTCAGACAGTTCTTAAGCAATTGAAGCTCAAAGTTGATTTCTAGTCCAAT